CCAATTGTTGTTGTTGCCCCAGTTTCCCTGATTACTCCGATTGTTGTTTTGATTGCCCCAATTTGGATTTTGATTATTGTTGTTCCCTTGTTGTTGATTATTCCAATTGCCCTGAGATCTCCATTATTTCTGTTGGTTAGGAGAATTGCCTCTTTGGCCTTGATAATTGTTCACATATTGTACCTCTTCATTCTGCCCATCATAACCATCATCTTGGAATCCACCACAATCATTGTGAAATTGATCCGAACTCCCTTGGTTCTGTTGACCTCTATGTCTTCTATTGTTCACTAGCATGTTGACACCCTCCATGGCATTTACTTGGCGAGGATTTTGAACTTGTTGCAATTGTGCCTTTGCTAATTGGTTCATTATTGTTGTAAGTTCTGCTATAGCCTGCCCATGGTCATGTAGTTCTTTGTACAAATGAGTGACCGTGGGGTCACCCTGTGGCACAGTGGCCCTACTTTGCCAGTGGAGGATGTGTCAACCATTTCGTCAAGAATAGAACAAGCTTCATCATAAGGCAGCTTCATGAAATTACCCCCAGCCAATTGATTCACTATGCATTGATTCGTTGTATTGATGCCCCGGTAGAAGGTTTGTTGTATCATTGCCTCTGTCATATCATTGTTGGGGCATTCCTTCACCATAGTTCTATATCTCTCCCAAATCTCGTGTAATGGTTCGGTGGGTTCCTGCTTGAAAGCTAAGATCTCGTCCCGTAATGCTGCCATGTGCCCCGGAGAGAAAAATTTGGCAATGAACTTATTCGCCAACTCATCCCAAGTGGTAATGGAATGGTTGGAAAGTCGCTCAAGCCAATCCAATGCCTTCCCTCTAAGTGAGAATGGGAAGAGTCTCAATCGAAGTGCATACTCGGACACATTGGTTTGCTTGCTCCCCCAACAGGTATGGCACATTGGTTTGCTTGCTCCCCCAACAGGTATCCACGAACCCCTTGAGATGTTTGTACACATTCTGAGAGGAAGCACCCGTGAAATACCCCCACTGCTCTAGCAATGTCAGCATCACATTAGTAATTTGAAAATTGCCCGTCCGGATCCGGGCGGGACAATTGCACTCGCATAGCCTTGGTTGGGAAGTACTCGAGGAGCCACTCTTGGAGGTGGCGGAGGAGGGTCCGGCGGCCTCTACGTTGTCCCTGAGGTACAAGAGGTACCTCATCATCTCCAATATCATCTACCTCCTCCCCCGCAACCACATTGCCAAGAGGGTCATTGTTGTTTGCTGCCATTTTGCACCTGTAGTTGTGACACACACAAATTAGTAACAAAGAAGGAAAAAAGAACAATCCACAAAACTACAAAGATAGATAATCAAGACCGTTAGCTCCCCGGCAACAGTGCCAAAAAGGTGATCGGAGCCAACCCTGTACTACTATAAAGTAGCAAGAGAGGTCGAAGCAACTTTTACCCGATAAGGTCGGGATTGATTTCCACAGGGAGCTAGAAATTGGAATTGAGTTTCTATCTAAGTTAGAATTGCGTAATTGTTCCTAATTACACTTCTAAACATTTTTTGTTTTTGATTTAACGTCTAAATTTATACTACCAATATGCTAAATTGAGCTACGTTAAGCTAAGACAAGACTATTGAAGATGTTCTAATTAGTTAAAAGGCACTAGGGGAGTGACTTTCACCTAGGTGGATAATTAACGGGTTCTCGTGTCTAAGGCTAGGTTCTCATATTTGAGGATTACGATATAACCATTGCATGATTCTACTCACTCTATACCTCTCGGTAGTTCGAGTGATTTTGCCCTAATTGACTTTCTCAAGATCAATTGGGTATGAACATTTGTGCAAGCAATTGAGGTTCAAGTCGGGTATTACGATCTCTCGGTTTAACCCTTTAATTGGGGTTATCAATTCTCTTGAGTACGCCCCAATTCCTTGTTGGACTAATTCTAGAGACTTAGGCTCTCTTTCTCAAGAAGAGCCAAAATCAACAAAGCACAAACTAGTGTTTGCAACCACTAATTCAACAATAAAATCATAAATTAGTCCAAATATCAAACACCCATAGACATTCAAACCTTAAAACACAAGACCCATCAATTACCCACACTAGGGTTGAGCCACAACCCTAGCTGATGGGTCTAGCTACTCATGTTAATAGAGAAAAACAAAGAAATAGATGAAGATAAACCCATAAAATTAAATTACTAATTAAAACTTGAAGATTCAATGGTAAAACTATTGTAAAATTACTCCAAATGGCAAGAAAAGCCTATTCACGAGCGCAGCTCAGCTGTATATTTTAACTCATACCTAAAAATGGAAAAAGAAACTATTATACTAGACCAAAAATTTTGGACAAAAATACCCCTGCGGGGCTAGTGCGGACCGCACAAAAACGAGTGCGGCCGCACTAAGGCTTTTGGCTTGACTTTTCTGCTCTCTNGCTCTCTGATCATGGCCACCGCGGACCGCACAAAATGCACCGCGGCCGCGGTGGCTCCTGTTGCGGTCCGCACAAAATGGAACGCGGACCGCATTGGCCATAATCCTCCAATTGTCATCTCTCTAAACCTTGGCTCTGCGGACCGCACGAAATCGAGTGTGGCCGCAATGAACTCAATGCGGACCGGACAAAACTCTTTGCGGACGCATTGCCTGAGGGCCTGAAAAAACATAGTCTTTGAACTTCATCCTTGCGGACCGCACAGAATGGTGTGCGGCCGCACTAGCCCTGTTTGACTGAGCTTGATCTTGTCTTGGTACTTGTGCAAGTTTCACTCCTTTCTGAGCTGATTTTTGACACCTTGTCACCTTGATGATCAAACCTGCAATCAAGCACAACTTGTGAGCCTTTGGGACTATTTTGTACACATTTCTAATCAAACTTAAGCAAGAAGGAGTGCAAAATGCAAAATAATCCCTAGTTATCAGGAGGGTCATGGCGTGGTTGACTAGTGTGTGTCACCACAAAGTTAGTCACCAGAGGGTGCAAGTGCGGAGGCACTTTCCGAGCGAACATCGACAGGAGGTGCAGTGCAGAGGCACGCTTGGAAGATACTTGGGGGAGAAGTGCGAGGGGCACGACTCCATTTTGGGAATGGACTTTGAGGAAGTCCGACCCACAAGGACTAAGGGAGCCAGTGTACATCCCTGAGGGGGCAGACTCCGGGTTGTCATGGGCATTGCTGTGTCATCAGGGACGATGACAGGTTGAGTGTGGGAGGATGTCACACCCCGCATTTTGGGGGTCATGTCATCCATGAGGACTACGTGCTATAAGGCGGCAGGACGAGTGTCAGTCGCGTAGGCGACGTGTGCTGACGATGCGTTGTGAAGGAGCATCACGCAGAGAGGCTTTGCATCAGGCAACAACCATCAAGATATGTTGTGTTGCATGTCCTAAGAGTGCCAAGCAAGTTTAGCGAGGACTTGGGATGAGACCAAGGGTCTAGCCTGCGGGTGACGGCCACGTACGTGCTTGAACGTCTCTACCTTACGTTTCCGAGCTACAAGGGAAGTCTAGGGATTTCGGTAGTAGGCCTTGTTCCTAGTATGCTCTTATATATGCTTACCAAGTTTGGCGTCATTTGGAGTTCGTTTGCCTATGGGCTTGACTTCGCCAAAGGCAGTGGCATTATCATAATTTGCTGAAGTGTCCGAAGGCTATAACTATTTCCACGAGTATGGGAATGGGGTGAAACTTCATGGAACTGTGAAGGAAGTCAAGACAAAGCTTTAGGAACAGACGGCGCCTTATTCGGAGTTCGGGTGAGTGAGAAAAGGTCATTATGATTCTCTGGCCAAAACACGTCTACTAGGGGATCATGGGCTTTTTTATTCTAAGCATATATAAGGGGGCAGGGGTGTTGAAGCTCAGCCAGCCTCCCCCGTGAGTGATGCCACCAAGCCGCACCAAGTGAGCTACCTTGAGGGGGAACCGCAGGGGCCTGCCTAGGCATCATAAAGGAGTGTCATAGGTATCCATACGAGCTTGGGAACTCTATGGACGGCGCGACGCCTTAGGGCTAGCGTTGGGCACAAAACGGGCATCGGAGGCTTGACGTGCGGGATAATTATGCCCTGTGGGCTACCGAAATGGTGGATAAAGACCTCCGTGCCGATTGGATACTTGAAGCACCTATCTTAGGGGCCTCATGTGTCGACTTGTGAGCTTGGCTTGGGTTCAGCTAGGCAAGCAAGGGTCCGTTGGCCTAGACGTGCAGTTGTGGGGCGACACTGCACTATACGGAATGGAAGTATGTTGCGAGGGCTATGTTTGGCTATGCCATAAGACAACCGTGGGCATGTTATGAAAGACGCACATGACAGAGGCCTAGGACTAAAGGTTGCCTTACTCGGGCGAAGCACAAGCTGGGTACGGATGCACGAGGCGAGTGTCAAGCTTGAGGATTGGACTGTGCACGCGAGAGTGATGCTCAGTGCTAGGCGAGGGACGTACGTGTCCTTAGCCAACCCCGGGTGTGCGCATGGATGAGATCCAGCAGATGAGAAGTGCCACAGCTAGTCAAGGCTACGAGCCTAGACACAGGACAGGCGACACAGTTGGAGTAAGCCTCCTAGGCAAGCTCCACCACGGGCACATGATCGTGCTAGAAAACCTGGGAAAAAACGGAAAGGCTACGGCCTGTAGTGTGGGTGACGTACGAGGCGCCGCACGGGGCTAAGTGGTCGCGCTAGTCGAAAAAACGTTTCGTGGTGTGTGTGTGTGTATATATATATATATATATATATATATATATATATATATATATATATATATATATATATATACACACACACACACATACATACATACACACAAAAGATATACATTTTTCCGTTATTATTTTGAGAGCGACTATACAATGTCATTTTCCATCCGTCCAAGCATTGGTGGAAAGAGTAACCCGGTGAATTAGCAAATGCACGAACAATGTGCACTAAAAATATCACATTTCACTCGCTCTTTATATAACAAGGCAAATACTAAGAACTTGAAGGATAATAAACAAGACTGCAATAAACTCGGTGTGACTTTATTGTTACTGCACTTTGAAAAAGAACCATTACCAGAATAGCAGAGAGGACATATCTACTCAAGGATGTGAGATGTTATTCAAATTCGAAAGTAGAGTCGCTTTGCTGAAACTCCATTAAACAGACCTATAATAACCAAGTATAAGCAAATGGAAATGTCTTCTTTCAAGACTAATGTAACCCCTTTCGAGTTGAGGTTAATTTTAATTTTAATGCGGGGATAAAAATTAAAACAAAAGAAGAAGTTAGAATTGGAATTGCATCTCAGGGGTATATCCAAGGGCTTCAAGATTAGCAGCCATAGCCTTGTTCATTGGTGGTGGACCACACCTCAGTATCTGCACGTTTAACATGAAATCAGAGCTCGAAAGCTAATCTACCTATCTCTCCTATTAAAACTTATGATACTAAAATCGGCAGCTTTTAGCAACTTGAGAGATACAATGTAATACCTTAATGTCAGCTGCAGGTGCAGGGCAATGAGTCTGGATCATTTCCTTGGAGACAAATCCTACACCACCACTCCATACTTCTGGAGGCTATTGATATATTAAGAGAACGATAAAATTAGATCATTTAATTCATTACGTAGGATGTAAAAGCATGTCTACTTGCAAGAGAAATGTACCTTTAACAAGGAGCAATTTTGAAAGAAAATAAAGAAGAAAGAAATCACTTCACTAAAAGTTCAATTTGTTTTTGAGAGCTTGTACCCTATAATCTTACAGGTGGAAGTATGGCATTTCCCCAACTATCCTACACCCTGTTCGTCACCTTTTACCTGATTCTTTTAGCATAGTACCATATCGACATTGAACCCTATCTTGTTTGGAACACGAAAACCAGAAAGGTAAGAGAAAAAGAAAATAACTGTTGGTTGAAAATTCTTAAGAATAATTTAAGTAGGTCGATCGAAAAATGTTGTTAGCATCCCTCAATTGTAGAGGTTATTGAATATAACAAGTTTAATATGCTACACTTCTCCAATGAGACACAAAAATAAAGTTAAGTGCCTCCACTGGTCGAGAATTTAAGTACAACTTTTGGAACCAGTCATGTTAGATCAAATTTTCGTTTTTGTTCCTACAAAATCAGTAAAGAGGCGCACGGAGATCATTTGACAGTTCTGGAGATTCTGAAAATATCACTACAAACTACAGTAATTGAATTAGCTATCACAATACAGACGACATGTCAGAGAAGAGAATTTTGCAAGATATACAGAACAGTCAATTAAACAAAATCATAAGTATCGTAGGCAGAAGGAGAAAAAAGCCTATAGGCACCTCATATTCCAAATCAGAAATAAAGCTATAGAACTAACCTGATTCAAAACGTAATAAACTTTGAAACGGTCAGGATAGTTAGCAGCAAGGCCTTCCAACTCTTCCTGCAGGCCAAGTAAGAGAAATTCAGGTGCGGACACTCAGTAGTTTCAAGCTATATGCCTTTCCATAGGAAAAAAATACTACGCTTGATCTTAGCCAAAAGGTCAAGAAAGGTAACCCCAGAAATAAATACCGAGTAGCAAAATTATCAACACTTCAAGGAGCCATCAACTTCAGCATAAAAATTGTTCAACAATGTCCTCCCAAACTGCTAAAAGGTGTGAAGCTATGGTGGGGGAAGGTGTTAAAAAGGGACAGGGTATACGGAAGGAAGTTGTCTCGAACGACATACAAATCCTTCGAATCGATGCAGACTTAGCTAAAGATAGGGCACAGTGGAAGAAAAAGATCCATATAGGTGATACTAGTTAGGAATAGGCTTTAAATTTGTTATAAAACTTCTAATGTTATTACTTATTTATATATATAAACTTAATTTCACTAATACTCTTATTTTATTTTGGCATGAAAATGATGAGTTGAGCTTAAAGAAAGAAGTTAGGATTCATATCGCCAACCGCAACTTTGCTTGGGACTGAGGCATAGTAGTAGTTGTTGCTGTTGTTGTCTAACCATTACACAGGAATAGGCATATTAAGAATGAGCTTCAGACACATATCTACTCCCTGACCCCTGAAATAGTTTCCTTAAAAATAGAACTTTGGCGTCCCCCATATAACCAGAAAAGTTGATAATGCATTTAGAAAAGGATCATCACATAAAAGGATCACTATGCAGGTAAAGTTCAATAACAAATTGGGAGAAGTGAGAAAGTGAGAAAGAGTTTAACACTTGTATGCAGTCAAAGGCTGTATAACAAATACTACAGATTTTTTTGAGAAAGTAACATTTATAACAAAACTACAGATTACTTAGACATGATCCATATACGTGGGAGTGTATTTCTTTAAATTGATTTACTTTTATAAGTAAAGGTGAAGTCAATCTGAACGTAGCAACCCCAGAAAGTAGTACAGGAATAACTTTTACTAATACAAGAAAAATAGGCTGAGAAGAAAGGTTGGATACTTTAGAGAACATATTTATCTTTAGAAAAACTAAAAGTTAAGAATAAAAATCAAATGCTTTACGGCTTCAGTACAACTCACTGTAACTTGATTTCATGTGTCTCTTAAGTCAAAGATGCTCTAAGCCATTTTAAACTTGAACTAACTAACAAAACACAGTTCCCACTCAAGTTTCGAAAATAAAATCAGACATTATTTCCCCCTCATCTCTAAAGCAGAGTTCAGCAAAGGGCTAAAATAGGCACATGCTTTACAGACAAGCACCCTGCACCTTTTGAATAAAATAGGAAAATAGGAAATTCCACCCAAAATAAAAAGGAAAAAGTCAAAATGAGATGAACAATAAGCCTATTACTCAATACAGTTTAATTGCAGCAACTATAACAGGAGATCAGTCAAGGGCATAGTTAAAATTCTTTGAAATATTCAATTAACATGTACGAACTTCAATTGAATGACATAAAGATATAAAAAATATGTACCTTTAGAAGAATATCTTCATAAGTAACATTAGCATATATTAGGTGCACCTTCGTCTTGTCCGTAGGATTTTCAAGAATAGCCCTAGCAACCTGGCCAGAAACAAAAAAGTAGTACCCTACATCAAACTTGAAATCTTTTCGTCCACTACATTCTTTTTCACAAAAAGTGAAAGACAACTATTTGAGTAAAGCAGTAAGTCCATAAAAAGAATGAAATTACACATTAACCAACGGAACAAACCTGGAACATTGGGGTAATGCCAGAGCCTCCGGCAAGCATTCCAAATGCTCTTACTTGGCCAGGTTGGTACTTGAAACGGCCCTATTTATGAAAGGATATTGATGTGTGAGTACTCAAAAGATAAAGCTTTTAATTTTTAGCATCAAGAATCCAATGCCAACTGAAATTAAGCAATGTTGGATTTCTGCTGCATCTAAACCTCAGATATGGACGAAGAAAAACCACAACACATAGAATGGTGAAATCTGGCAAGATATCCTTTTTTTTCTTTTTTCCTGATAACCATGGTGTCGAGCCAGCTTACACACACCCTCAACTTATTCCACGGGGTATCTGCTACCTCCCACAAGCAATAGGTACCGGATAACTCTATCCACCAAGGCTTGGATAGATGGGAAGAAATCACCTAGTGTTTTTTGAAAATTTGGCAAGATATATATATTTTTTTTTAATTAGTTGAAGTTTGGCAAGATATCTAACCAAGCCATACCCCAAAAGAATAATTTCTTGGATACATCGCGAGATTGCGACATTTTCTCTTTTATTCTTCTATTTCATTTTCTAAGTCATCTAGATATTAATTCAAAAGTTTAACAAACTTGGAATCGCTGAAGAAGAGAAACAAAAAAAAGAGAGATAGCTACCTCTCTGAGACCACGAAGAGATTACCAATAAGTAAATGCAGATAAATATCTCATAAGCACTACAAAAACTACCTTGGGTCCCTTCACTGCCAAATAATCACCCACACGCATTTCCCGGAAATGATGAGACATCCTTCCTTGGGGATACATCTGGGCATTCATAAATACAGACCATCAAAATCAACAATATGAGATAGAAAAATGCCAATATAGATATAATATTGCAAGAACAAGATAAACATACTTCTGAAGTTTTACCTTTATAACTAATTCAAAATGTCCAATGTCCGAGTCCAAAGTAGTTGGCGTGTATGGTTTAACAACCTCTTCACCTTGACTATCTTTGCCCCTGATTGATTGAACATCAAGTGAGAAACCAAATGTTTTCTAAATGTCAATAGCAGAAATGGGTCGGAACTGGTATGTGAGACTCTAGTTCAATCAACCGAACCTGCAACTAATGTGTTGCCCAATGGGTAGGCCCAACACGGAAGTGGGTGTTGGAAGTTCAAATCTGAATTTTGCCACATTATGGCTAAGTTGTGTGCGCTTAACAAGCTTAAATTCTTTGAATTCTTCAGGATTTAAGCATACTGTTAAGACAACAAAATACTATCAGTCAGTATAACCAAGATCAAAAGCATAGTCTAAAGAAAGACAGGGCAACGACAACAATTACGCCTAAGTCCCAAACAAGTTTGGCATTGGCTATATGAATCCTCAGCGACCGTGTTTATCCAATTAAATTTATCTCAGGCACCACGAAATAGTAGCTACACGACTACTAATTTAAAACCATAAACTTCTTTGCCCTAAATAATAAGCATGCATAAATGTAATTCACAGATTTTCTTATGTTGGAAGTGTTTGGATTGACAGGCACATTATGTTATGCTATAATAGCTGGTAACTGAGTGAAAAATCAGACCTTTGGACTTCTTAGAAGAGAAGTAAAAATAGGCAGTAGCACCAGCAGCAACAACAGCAACAGCAACCCCAACAATTAATTGAGCTTCAGGTCTTTCCAGAAACTCCATTTTCAAGAAATAAAAACCTGATCTTTAGACAAATAGAAAAAAAAAATTAGTACTAAATATTACATCAGTCACTGCTCAACTGACATTTCAAATTCCAGGAAAGGAACCCCATTTTAAAACATGCAGAATCTTGATGTAAAAAGAAAAAAGTAAAGGGGTTTGAATCAATTAGCAAAATGGGAGATTCTTACCAGAAAAGAGGAATCTTGAATTACAGTGAAATGGAGCTGTAGTTGAAATGTAAGAAAATTAGAAATAAATGAAGAGACAACAAGAGTAGATTAGATCATAGTAGTAAGAAGTAGGTGAAGACAAGATGTGAGATCTTAGGTATTGGTTGTTCTCACCAACCACTGGCACTGTCCCCAACCTTCAACCGTCGCCCCTTGTTTTCTCATCAAACCAGTTTCCCATTGATTTTATTCAGTGTATATATTTGACATTTTTACTCCTCCAATTTCAAGTTTGACTAGTCAGGATTTTTTTTATTATAAAGAAAATAGAACTTGTAGAAGATTGTGATTAAGCATAAAATAAAAAGCTTCAAGTTAAATAATTTTTAAATATAAAAAATATTTTTTTTCAAAACATACTAAATAAAAGTAGAAACTGTGATAGTTTAATTGATTGGTTCTTTGAACTCAGGGGCGGCCCTACGAGTTCTGTGGCCTAAAGCCAAACTTTACGAGGGGCCTTAATTTTTTTTTAAAAAAAATTTATTTATTTATTTGAAATCTATTTTTTTAGTGTTTCTTAGATACAAAGTTATTAATAATTTTCTTATAATCAATATCTACTAATAAGTATTTATTCTTAATTAGCAATATACTTAATTCATTTAACCTTTCTTGAGACATTGTTGATCTTAGGTAGTATTTTATCAATTTTAATTTTGGAATTTTTTTTTCGCCGAATCAACGATAACAAGAGTTATTAACATTATTCCATAAGTAATATAGGCATTGGAAAAGAATCGAATCTTTTTATTTGACAGAGTGTATCAATTAAACTGTTATCTTCTAATTGTACTATTTTTCTTAATATTTTTAATTCTGAAGATAAATCTAAACCATCAATATCGAATTGATTATTATGCTTTAAGGAACATTCAAGATTAAGACAATATTTTTTTAAATTTTCATCATCTAGTGATCTTAAATTTTTACCGCTAAATAGAAAATCAAAAATACTTTCATATGCTTCGAATTGTTCAAATATATTTTGAAGTGAAAAAAATAGCCTTATCTACTAGGTATAAAGTAATCAACTCCAAAGGACTCTTCCAAAGATTTTGAGATTTTATTATCAACATTCTCATCAAATTGTTACTTCCTATATATCATATGTTTCTTACGAAATTCGGGTTCGATATTCATTTCAAGTACAATTTTCGTGGCAGAAAAGATTGCAGTTGCAAATCCTACTTCTCTATACTTGTTAAAGAAAGAAATCAAACTTTTTCACGTTCACAGAATCTTTTTTTAAACTTATACATAGTCTATTTGGTGTAATAAAAAATGGGGCCCTTACAAATGTGGGGCCTAAAGCAGTTGTTTTACTTGCTTTATGGAAGGGTCACCCTTTGAACTTTCCCTTTGTCGGTCATGGTTTGATTCTCCTTGTAACCTCCTCTTTCATTTCTCCTTTCGTTAAAAGAATTTAAAAATAAATAAATATTGTTATTTGTTAATAATATTGAAATCATTGGAAGATTTCAATGTTCTTTAATCTGACGATCGCCTATTTTCTCTCGGTGCACTTTAACTAACGTGCGCTGACCATAGGGAAGAGGGCGCGTGTTCCATCTCAGAAGGCTCTAATGGCGTAGGAAACACTTGGAAAACGACATCAACAATGGGGGCAAAAAGCTCAGAGTAGTAAATTGGCCCAAAACACTCAATCGTCAAGAACCCTAGAGGAAAAGGATGGCAATGAAACAATAAATTTGGTAAGAGAATCAGAGAATACAACCAAATTGAAAGCTATTCAGCAATGGACAGAGATAGTAAAGTAAGGCGATAAGCAGCATAGTCCATCTAGTAGTGGTAACAAGTCATGGGCCGATCAAGTGGAGGAGGAGCTCAAAATGCCGGTGAAACAGAGTTTGATTTGGGAAAATTTTGGCATCACAAAATTGTCTAATGCTAGCTTCAAACTTGAGTACGTATCTCCCAAATTTGCAAGGTGAGTCACCTATTCTAGACATTGAATTAGAGTATATAGCGTCGGAGATTGAATATTGGAGAAATGTAGTGGTATGTTATGTTTTGGGTGCTCACCCCCCATTCCTTGTGCTTAATGGTTACATACGGAGGACATGTGCGAAGCATGGGATAAATAAAATCTCAATGCTTAAGAATGGGATTGTTTTGTAAGATTTGATAAAGAACTGGGGAAAACTGAAGCAATTCAAGGAGGCATTTATCACTTTGATAACAAGCCCTTTATTGTCAAAGTATGGAGTCCAAAAATGGAGTTTACCTGAGAAGAATTACACACTGTATCAATCTGGATAAGGTTACCTGGATTGGACTTCAAGTAATAGAGTCCAAAAGGCCTAAGTAAGATAGGAAGCTTGGTTGGGAAACCATTGATGGTGGACCAAAACATAAAGAATAAAATAGGACTTAATTTTACTCGACTTCTGGTAGAGGTGGGAATGGATTGAGTTACTAAAATATGTATTATTCAAGAATGAGAGAGGATCAGTGGTGGAACAAAAGGTGTTGTATGACAAGAAGCCAACTTTATGCAAATATTGCAAAAAGTATGGCCACTCAGAGACAGAAGTAGGAAGAAGAAATGGCAAAAAACCACACTACAGGAGGAAAATCCAGTACAAGGAGAGAAAGAAGCTGGCAAACAGAATACTAAGTCTCCTACAATGCAACCAAGTGAGACACAACAAGTTCGACAGGTTCAACAAAGTGTTGGAACAAGGCAAAAAGAGTCCATAACAGAGAGACAACAAGAGCAACAGAAGAGTGGATGGATCACACCATTAAGAGGACAAACAAGCAGGACTCAAAATAAACAGATGCACCAGGTGACAAACAGCAATGCTTTTCAGGTTCTTCACATGACTAAAATGGATTGCGATGTCTCTGCTATTGAAGGGGAAAATGTGAGAGGCCAAACCATTCATCTCTCAGGGAATGGTTAATATGCTTTTTTGGAATGTAAGGGAGCTTAATGCTCCCAATAAGCAAAAGGAGGTCAAGCTCCTTTGCAATGAAGAAAAAGTAAATCTAGTAGGATTACTGGAGACAAAAATAGAAAGCAAGAAGTTTGACAGCATAGATAATAAAATGTTTAGTGGTTGGAACAACATAAACAACCTAGGAGAGCACTACAGTGGCAGAATATGGATAAGTTGGAGACTAGACTATTATACAATCCAACTAAAGATGAGCACAGCTCAAGGGATCACTTGTGAGGTAACATACATTCCTTTGCAACTGTAGTTCATGCTTTCAGTTGAGTATGCACATAACACTAGAGATGAGAGTGAGCAACTATGGGAGACTTTAGTACAACTAAGCTTCACCTATCAAAAACCTTGGCTAATAATAGGATATTTCAATTCTGTATTGAAGATGGAGGATAGAATAGAGGGTAATCCAGTAGCTTGGGCAGAAGTTCTAGACTTTCAGAATTGTGTGGACACTTGTGCTTTGATAGAGTTACCTCAACAAGGCCACAAGTATACTTGGAATGATGGTTATCACAAAGTATTTAATTGGTTGGATGTTCATTAATGGAATATGGTTAAACACTATGCCTACATGTAAGGCAACATTCCTTCCTGAAGGCATTAGTGATCACTGCCCAGCTAAAATACTTTTGAATGAGATAAACATCAAAGAAGGAAGACTTTCTATTATAATAATGTGTGGGCACAACATCCTCTTTTTTTAGAGAAGGTCCAGGAAGTGTGGGATGAACATATTGATGGCTGCAGAATGTATTAGGTGGTTAAGAAGCTGAAACAACTACAAAGAAAATTGAAAGAGCTGAATTTTCAGCAATTTAGAAATATAGTTAAGGAAGCAGAAAAGGACAAGGAGTTGCTGAAACTAGCTTAGGAACTACTGCAGTCAAATCCTTTGAATGTACAACTCTAGGAAGATGAAAAGACTAAGTTCAAAAAATATAAGCACTCTTCTTTCTTAGTAGAGATGTTCTTGCAACAAAAGTGTAAAGCAAATTGGATAAGACTTGGAGATGACAACACAAAGTACTTCTACTCAGTGATAAAACATAGGAGACTATAGCAGACAGTCACTCAAATACAGGATAATCATGAGAACTGGAAAATTAATCAAGATGTAATTGCAATATCTTTGTAGATTGCTATACAGATCTACTAGGAAGGAAACATAATGATAGACTAAAAGCTTTCACAAGAATCCTAAGTAATGGTCCAACATTAACAGTGGCACAACAGATAGACCTGCTTAAGCCTTATTATGAGATGGAATTCAAACAAGCTATGTTCAAAATCGATAGTAACAAGAGTCCAGGGTCGAATGGGTATGGAAGTGGATTCTTTAAATCAACATGAGATATAGTAGGGAAGGACATTACAGAGGCAGTTCTGACTTTCCTCAACAATGGGAAGTTACCGAGGCAACTCAACACAATCAACATTGCTTTGATCCCAAAGGTGAAGGTACCTGAAAGTGCAAGCCAATACAGACCTATTACATGTTGCAATGTTATGTACAAATGCATTTCTAAATTGTTATGTAGTAGATTGAAGATTGCAGTCAATTGTGGTAGAGAACCAATCAGCTTTTGTGCAGGGAGGTCTATGGTGCATAATGTACTTATATGTCATGATTTGTTAAGACATTATAATAGATAGAACTCTCCCATTTGCATGATAAAAATTGATCTAAGGAAAGCATACGACACGGTAAGTTGGGAGTTTGTAGAAGAAGCACTCAAAGGATATGGTTTTCCTCCTAAGTTCATAAAATTGATTATGGTATGTGTTACATCTCCTAAGTATACAATCAAAGTCAATGGTGAAGGCTGTGGATTCTTTGATGGGAAGAGGGGATTGAGACACGGAGATCTAATGCCTCCCCTACTCTTTGTATTAGTCATGGAATATCTTTCCAGAACATTGAAGTATATGAGCGAGCTTCAGATTTCAAATTCCATCCCATGTGCAAGCAGTTAAAACTGACTCATTTGATACTTGCTGGTGACTTGATGATCTTCTGTAAAGAAACACCCGACCCAATAGCAAGAGTAATGGAGGCATTATCACATTTCAGGAAAGTAACAGGGCTAGTGGCCAACATGGACAAGTCAAGTATTTTTGTGGCTGG